AGTTACATCGTAAGGGTTTAAAAACTGAGCTTTAAAATGAACAGTGGTGATAAAAACCGAGAGAGGCCGACAGTGATCACTGACTGTTTTTAGGGGCTTGTTGAGATTAAACAGAACAAGATAAAAAGCATTAAAACATGTTGAAAACACAACAGCCTTAATAATCACAGAGTAGTTTGGACTGAAGCAGGTTTCATCACTTAATGATTGGCTAGCCCACCTGCTGTGAATGTTTTAACGCAGTACAGTTGTTATTATTATCACTTGTCACGTCCTGTTTATGACACTTCAAACAAATAACATTCATATGAGAAACAAAATTGTCTTGTGTAAACTGCATGTGGTGTTAAATAGGCCCATACTACTGTACTTTAATGTTGGTCATAAGTACTTTAAGAGCCATATGTTTTATGAGGTAGTGCTCATTGTGAAACGGTTGAGAACCACTGATTTAGGTCATATGGCACCACTAGAGGGCAGCATGGGGCACAATATTTAGTGCTGTTGTTGCCCAGCCAAAGTAATAAACAAGAAGGTTGTGAATCCACCATCTGGCCGGGGCCTGTCTGTTTGAATGTTCACCATTTGTTTTCATTAAGGCATTTCACACAGTTTTTAAACCACAAAACCATTCACGTGTATGTATCTGTCTGTGGATGGTGCACACAAAAGTGTCTTCATTGTCTGTAGGTGTCCTGAACTTCGTGGTGCTTGCAGACTGGGGTGGGCTGCCTTTGCCTCCTTACTACACTGCTCAAGAGAAAGCTGTTGCTGCAGAGATGGAGAGACTGGCCCAATCCGAGGGCGTGGACTTTGTTCTCAGCCTTGGAGATCACTTCTATTTTAGCGGCGTCAAGGATGTGGAAGACCCACGCTTCAAGGTATATCATATCAGGACCCGTGCATTAACAGCTGTTGATATATTCTGCTGAGCTCTTCTTGTAGCCCCAGACTTTGCGATGAATAGCATCTCTTCAGAGTTTAGTCTACCCTAAAGGATTTTGCAGGGTGATGTCATTTCCTTGGCTAAAAACTAAAATGTTACAAATCAAAAGCATAGTTTTAGATTTGTAGTTAGCACTTCTCACTGGTGTTGCTTCACTCTTTTACAGTGAAGATCAGCAGGGGTAATTTATTCACTGACAGTTTCTTTGTGAACTTCACAATAGGTGAGAGAACCAAAAGAAACCCATAGCAACAGGAAGCTTGTCCATGTTTATCTCTGCTGGACTCCAGAAAGCTGCAGAATGTGGCTTGAGATTTCCAAAGAAACACACGATCACCATATTCCCTGCAAAGTGCAGACTGGAGAGACAGTACTGGTACCCAGTGTTGGGAAGGTGACTTTTGAAGTGTATTCCACTACAGATTACAGAGTACATGCCCCAAAATGTAGTTTGTAACGTATTCTGTTAAGTTACTCAATGTGAGTAAGGCATCCTGAATACTTTACTATTGTCCTGCTTTTTACAACTACATGAATGTACTACTGCTGTGTGATTTATTAGTGTTACTGAGGCACCCCCGCGCTGGCATTAACTGAGGTTAGGTCAGAGTCTGCTTTCAGAACATGATTATTTGCAGCTAGCAGCTTGCTAATGCTATCATCAGTCTAACAGACTGCAGGCTAAGAGTTGTTGACCCACTAGTGATCACGAGCTTCATCACGAGTCAAGGTGTGATACAAGAACGGAGGCGTGATAAGTATGTTTCAGGTGGAACCATTGTGAGACCTTGCCTTACCCTGTCATGTGACCTGCTGAGGTTACCTGATGTAAATGTCTGGCCAGAGATCTCAAAACTGCATCGTAGCCAGCAGACAGTTGGTGATGTAAGCCTTTATTTAAAGATGATTATTCACAGTGGACATAGATAACTTCTTTCACTCCTCTTTCAAACTTCTCTGCCCACAATGTGAACACTGACATCCTCAACAGACCTTTGTCCTTGAGATGCAGATGTTCTGGTAAACGCCAGTGTTGAGGTTTCCGTTCACCTCCATGTACGCGGCGTAGTCCAGAAACAGTGAGCAGTTATCCTTTGTGTCTGCCCTGGTGTGTTTCTATCCACAGAGGTCATGTGAGCAGTGAAGGCTTCTGCTTCCTGGGTTCTGACCCAGGTGTCATCCACGTATCTGTGCCAGTGGCTGAGTGCTTTATTTTCCTCCATGTAAAGGTTGGCTATAATGGGTGACACTGGGGACACTGGCGCACTCGTGTTTGTGTCTGTAGACTCTCTTGGGTTTAAACACCTCAGGCTTTAGACTTGCAGAAGCTGCTTTGATGACAGGTGAAACAGAAGAAGTCCAGTACCTTCAAAGCTTCTAGACTACCATGAGCTGGACGCCTGGGAGCCTACACAGACATAAACTGTGAGGTGTTTCTCCTCCACAGAACACGTTTGAAGGTGTCTTCTCGCAGCCATCTCTACTGGATATACAGTGGTACCTAACTGCTGGAAACCACGACCATATTGGCAACATCTCAGCACAGATGGCTTACTCTAACATATCCCACCGATGGTAAATATCAAGCAAGGTTTGAGTGAGAAGGTCAGTCTTCTCACACCTGTAGCGTTGACCTGAACTAGTTATCATGTGACTTGCATTAAAATCATGTTTCAGGCGTTGCTAAAACGTGCTCTGATGTTTCGTACACTCGTTTCTGTGATACCTGAGATGATTCAAGGTTCCAGACCTCAGTGTTGCTCAGACGTTATGATGTGTTGTCTCTGCAGGAACTACCCAGCTCTTTATTACGATCTCCAGTTTACTGTTCCACACACAAACGTGTCCGTGAGCATCCTGATGATTGATACGGTGGTGCTCTGTGGAAACACAAATGACCGGGTCCAGCCTGTGGGACCAGAGGACTCCACGGCAGCAGCAAACCAGTGGAACTGGATCAGTGCTAAACTGGCCAGCAGCAGGTGATTCGTTTGACCA